GATCGATAGACTGTAAATTTTCTAAAAGGCTAAAAGACAAGAAGAAAAGACGAAGTTAAATACATTTGAACAGGTACAGATGTTCCTCGACTTAAGACAGTTTAGTGACCATTTGAAGTTACGATGACACTGGGAAAAAAACCCAAAAAACACCGCAAAAGACTTCCACCCGAACTTTCTCAAGCCAACAGGGCTTTTTAAAAAAAAAAAAACAGAAAAAGAATTCTTTACCCTTTTGGGGTCCTGTCGTTTTGTTTCGCCTTGACCCCGGTTCCTGACTCTTCCATCTTCCTTTGCACTGACCATCTGGCTTCCAGATTCAGCTCTGCAACCTAGGGTGGGGAAAAAAAACACCTCCCTAATCTTACAAATTCTTCTCCGGCATGTTTTGCTTCCAATCAGTTCTTGAGATTGTTGGTTAAATGCCTTATTTCCCACTGAAGCCAAGCCTAAGTACCAATCACAGGACTTCCAGGGGCGTCTTCCTACTTATTTGCACCTGGGGCCATCCTGTTTCGCTGTAAGGGATGGAAAATGTGTCCATTCTTAGACACTTAGGATCTTCTCGCCACATGGTCCCAACCTTCATTCTCCAACCCACCCACCTTAAATCTTAAATTTAAGATCTCTGGACTTCAACTCCCAGAATTCCATGTGCTGGCTGGGGAATTCTGGGAATCGAAGTCCACATTTAGGATTTATGGGGGGGGGGTTAATCTGTGTTTATTTTCAGTTTCCAGCAAAAATTGATCCATTGGCCAAACTGGGTTCCTTCAACGGCCACAGCAAAACAGGTTGTAAGGTTGGGCGCCATCCATGATGACCCACTTAATGACACAAGTGTGTGACTGTCACAACATACAACCTTAATGGGCAAACTCCATCACTGTCGAATGTTGAGGACTTCCTATAAAGACTTACATATTGGGGAAGAGGTTACAACTGCAGGCAGAATGCAGTATTGCAGGCAAACTCTGCCCACGGCCTGGAGTTCGATGCTGCCCAGCTCAAGGTGGACTCAGCCTTCCCTAAAATGAGGACCCAGATTGTTGGGGGCAACGTGCTGATTCTGTAAACCGCTTAGAGAGGGCTGTAAAAACACTATGAAGCGGTATATAAGTCTAAGTGCTATTGCTAAGTGCTATTAAGCGCTACTGCTATATGTCAGATCGCTTGCTAGTTCCCCCCTTTTAAAAACTCTGGGATTTTTTCCCCCTTGGCATCCATTATCTGCTCTTTGATCACAATTACAATTAGAGTGACTCGGCAAGGAGGGTACGGTGTAAAGATACGTTTATTCCTGTCCTTAAACAACAGTCTCAAAAGAGCCAAGATACCTACTTTCCTGGCTCCTTGTTCAATGAAATACTGGGCCAGCTCAAGGGCGCACTGGGCATCTTCGGTGGGATCGTGACCCAACTGGGCCTTGCTCTGAATTTCTTTCCTACAAGAAGGAACCGTGCATGTAGTACATCCGTGAACATTTACATACTCTATTGGGTAGCAAAGAAGCAGGCGAATTTAGATAGAATATTTGGAGCTCAGGGCTCAACTGAGGGTTCAGTTTGGTCTTTTTTTTTTGCAGACGTTTCATTACCCAACTAGGGAATTTCATCAGTGATAGAAGGGAGTGGGGTTTGTTCTCTGTTTATATACAAGTGTCAGCGTTGGTGAGGTGTTCCTGGTGGATTGACTGTCAGCTTGGTTGTCTGAGTTGGTGGCTTGATTGGGCTATTGTTTACTTCCTGACTATTGGTCTAGTGTAGGAGTAGGCAACCTTGGCTCTTTTATGACTGGTGGACTTCAACTCCCAGAATTCCTGAGCCAGCCATGCTGAGGGGAAAGAGAGAGGTTTCTAAGCTGAGCCATGCTGGCTCAGGAATTCTGGGAGTTGAAGTCCACCAGTCATAAAAGAGCCAAGGTTGCCTACCCCTGGTCTAGTGTTAATCTTGGGATTAATCTCTGTTCGTCTGGATGTTGATTACTGGCCAGGAGGTGTTTGAGTCTCTTTGATTGCTTTCTGACTTTTTGATTGTCTGTTTTGAATGATATGTAGATGTTCTTTATCTCTATGCGCCTGCTGATGGCTGATTTATCTGAGTGTGTCTAAGAATTTTTTTAACGTTTAGGTCTAGAATACGCAGTTTCCCAGTTGAAACTATGGAAATTATAGCACCGATGATGTTACCTAGTTTGGTAATGAAACGTCTGCAAGAAAACCACCCAGCTCAGAGAGCACCAAGGACAGCGTAGTCCTCCTGCTCCTTCTTCACCCCCCTTCCTTCTCCTACGCCCCGCAAATCCCACTCCCTTCATAGCACTGATGGTGTTATCTAGTTTGATAATAAAACGTCTGCAAGAAAACAACCAAGTTCAGGGACCACCAAGGACTAATTTCAAACTGGGGAATTCTGGGAATTGAAGTTTACAGGTCTTAAAGTTGCCAAGGTTGGTCACCCTTGCCTTAAGCAGGTATACTTGTAGGACTGACAAGTCTTTAATTATCTGTCAGCAACCCTCCCCTCCCCTTGGAAAGGGAGCAATTCAGAGATGTCCTAATTGAAAAGTGTCAGGAGATGTGCCTGGAGGCAGGCACTCAACCCAAACCATCTTACCCTAGAACAGCAGCTGCTAAGAACTTCAGCTTGAACCTTCTGCCCCCTTTACGGGTGTAGAGAAGTGAAGTGTCTATAACTTTCGGATGAATCATCTGGAAATGTGGGAGGGAAAAAGGAAAGATGTTTGAAAACATGGTCTTTTAAACAAAAACCCCGACATTTTGACCAGCTACAGGGAGTCCTCGACTTATAACCATTCATTTAGTGACTGTTAACAACGGCACTGAAAAAAGGGACGTCAACCGGTCCTCCCACTTATGAGAACCCCAGTCCAGACATGTGATCAAAATGTTTGGAAACTGGCATGTGTTTATGGTGGTTACAGCATCCTGGGGTCACACGACTGCCATTTTTTGGACTTTCCCAGCTGGCTTCCGACAAGCAAAGCCATTGGGGGGAAGCGGGCTTTGCTTTAACGACCCACGCGATTCGCTTAACAACGGAAGGGATTCGCTTACCAAACATGGCAAAAAAACAAAAAGGACATAAAATTGGGCACAACTCACTCACAACTGCCTTGCTCAGCCACAGAAATTCCAATCTCAATTGTGGTCGTATAGTGAGGACCCCCTGTACATAAAGCTTTCAAACCGGGACCTGGAATGTTTTGCTCTAGTCCAGGGGTAGGCAACCTTGGCTCTTTTATGACTCGTGGACTTCAACTCCCAGAATTCCTGAGCCAGCATGGCTCAGCTTGGAAACCTCTCTCTTTCCCCTCAGCATGGCTGGCTCAGGAATTCTGGGAGTTGAAGTCGACGAGTCCTAAAAGAGCCAAGGTTGCCTACCCCTGGTCTAGTCTATTTCTGTATCTTAGGCCAGGGGTCTCCAAACCTGGTAACTTTTAAGAGTTGTGGACTTCAATGGCTGGCTAAGGAATTCTGGGAGTTGAAGTCCACAAGTCTTTTTTTTTAAAATTAGTTTACAATATAAAAGACAAAAATACAAAAGAAAATAGTCGGAAAAATAGGGGAGAGAAAAGTGTAGGAAAAGGGGGGGGGGGAAAGAAAGATACTCCCGACTCCCTTTTGGTGAAGTAGAATAAGGTGATAACATCAAACCTCAACTTTTTACTTTTATGTAACAGTATAAACTAGCTGTTTCTAGAACAACAAAGCTATCTAAATGGTAAAACCCCAAATCAAAGTTTTGTTTTTTTCCCCACCTCGAGCACAAAGTCCAGAAGCGGTTTCCAAGGGCAAACAAAAGGAATTGTGTGGGGTTTTTCTTCTTCTTCGATCAAAGCAGTCTATTTAGCCTTCTCTGCTAACTCCATCAACTTTTGCAGCTGTTCCTTGTGGGAATCAACGTCCCCTTCCATTTTTGAAGTCCACAAGTCTTAAAAAGTTGCCCCATTTGGAGGCCGCTACCTTAGGCCAAGACCTGGTGGGTTGAGACTGTGGAATCGATATACTCACTTCTAGAGCTCGGAGATCAGCATCTAGGGAATGGCCCACCAAAATGGCGTCAGGAGGCAGCATATTCCTTAATCGGGCCTGGATTTCTGCGAGGGTGGTTTGCACCGGCTGAAGCAGCTTCTCTGTGATGCCGGAGTAGCTTCAAAACACAACAAAAACAATATTTCAGGGCCATCTGAGATGATGCTTTCCAACGAGGGTCTTCCAACAAAGTAATAGATTCCAGCCCAGATAACAATACCTGTACAGGTAAGTCCTCAACTTACGAACACAGTTAAGCTCAACTCTAGAAAGAGTGCAGAGAAGAACAGCAAAGATGATCAGGGGACTGGAGGCTAAAACATATAATGAATGGCTGCTGGAATTGAGCAAGTCAAGTTTAATGAAGAGAAGGACGAGGGGGGACATGATAGCAGTGCTCCAATATTGGAGGGGCTGCCCTAAAGAAGAGGGAGTCAAGCTGTTCTCCAAAATGCCTGAAGGCAGGACAAGAAGCAACAGATGGAAACTGATCAAGGAGAGAAGCAACCTAGAACTAAGGAGAAACTTCCTGATAGTTAGAACAATTAACCAGTGGAACCACCTGCCTCCAGAAGCGGTGAATGCTCCAACACTGGAAGTTTTTAAGAGACTGGACAACCATTTGTCTGAAATGGTATAAGGTTTCCTGTCTAAGCAGGGGGTTGGACTAGATGACCTCCAAGGTCCCCTCCAACATGATGATGATGATGATGATCGCACAGTCCGCCAGATGTTCAGACTGGATTTGGCATTTTGTCTACCTACTGAGTCCTTACCAAGGACCTGGGATAGGCAGATGTGGATGTTTGATGGTATTACAGATATTGTCGCAGGATGGAGGCGGTTCCTAGTTAAGGCCTCTCTGCCCTCTGGGAATCCAGATTACATACCCACATACCATGGTCCCAATCACACACCTCTCCTGCGTAAACACACCCAGGGTGTAAAAAAAAGTTTAAAACAAACAGACATGCACACACCTTATCTAAACATGCGGCTTGGCCTTCAAAAAGAAGCTGTATCCAATTGAAGAACATTCATTTTAAGCAACTACCGTGCCAAAAACTTTCAAAATCCTGGATAACGTCCAACTTTTACAACAGTTTTATAGGTTTAAGCAACATACCAGGTAAGGTAATTCCTTATTGGCCATTCGGGTTTGACCAGCTCATTCATAAGGCACCGTCCGCTAGTATCCACCACTGCAATCCGGGTGAGTTTTGACCCCTTATCGGTGAGACACTGGTCAAAATGAAAAAGGGTGAAAAAAAGGCTAATGATTTTCGGTGGTCCTTTCCTCCCTCCAATGAGACGGTGAATTGATGGATTCTTTTACGGAAGGATAACACCTCTCAAATGTCATCCGTTCCAGTGGTGGGATTCAAATAGGTGAACAACCAGTTCTCTGCGTGGATGCCACTTCCGGAAGTCCCTTCTGGGCCTGGGCAACAAAAAAGTAGCTACCGATTCTGCCGAAGTGGTGCGAACCGGCTGAATCTCACGGACGGACGGACGGACGGACGGACGGACGGACGGACGGACGGACGGAAGGAAGGAAGGAAGGAAGGAAGGAAGGAAGGAAGGAAGGAAGGAAGGAAGGAAGGAAGGAAAGAAGGAAGGAAGGAATTGAAATATGTGGAGAACCGGTTCTCTGTGTGAATGCCACTTCCGGAAGTCCGTTCTGGGCCCGGGCGACAAAAAATTAGCTACTGGTTCTGCCGAAGTGGTGCGAACCGGCTGAATCCCACCACTGATCCTTTCCCTTCCTGGCTGGAGATGAAGTTGGGGAGCTTTGCATGCACTCAGTCACAGATTAGAGCTGTCCCCCGAATCATGAACTGAAAACTTCAAGGTACATTTTTATAAGTAAGAAATCCTTTCTTATTTGCTGAGATCCCGCCCTTTGCAATGGGAAGGAGAGTAACGCAACACAAAATAAATACCATTTCGCAGTCCAATCCAAAGAGGGGGCTGCTATCTGTAACCGGGCCGTTGCAGTGAGTCTGGACAAAATGGCTGCAGGCAGCACACCCTGGAGAAGCAATGAACAACAGTCACATTTGCAAAAGGACTAGCCAGCACAGTGCAGCCTATGGATCCTAGACATGGATTATTATTATTATTATTATGGTTTGTTGCACAGTCAGCCAGATGTTTAGACTAAATTTGGCATTTTTGTCTACTCATTGAGTCCTTCCCAAGGACCTGGGAGAGACAGATGTGGTTGTTTGGTGGTGTTACAGGTATTGTTGCAGGATGCATGCTGTTCCAAGTAAACCAAACCTTTTGCAATTGATTGTTGGTAAATTTGCCAGTGCCGATGGTGTTCAAGTGTTTGTAACAACAACAACAACAATAATAAAAATAGCTCTCCCTGGGGCTACTCTATGTGACTCATAACCATAACAATGAAGAAATAAAGGATGGCAGAAACTGTTGTGCCAATCATGGACTAGAGGAAAAAAAACCAGTTTAGAACTATCATTCTGTTATCATTTTGGAAGGAATAGACAATCGAATGAAGAATTTTATTTATCTATATACC